CTCTCCAGCGAATCAAACGGAACTACCACGTTGACAGGGTAGCTGCCGTAGTCAAGGAAGTGATAGCGGAGTGTGATACCTGTATCAGGAACAAGGCTTCCCGCCATGCGCCTTATAGACAGATGGGCACTACTCCGATACCACCAACCCCTTGAAAGTCGATCTCTTGGGATTTCATTGTAAAACTACCGAAATCCAAGGATCCGATGACAGGAGTCGAATACGATTCGATCCTAGTTATCATGGAAAGGCTGACAAAATACATGATCTTGGTACCATACAAAGAATCAAGTACAGCCGAGGAATTGGCATTTGCATTCCTCAGGGAAGTAGTCTCGGAACATGGACTACCAGAAGAGATAATCTCAGACAGAGACGAGCTCTTTACCTCATTGTTCTGGAAAGCCCTCATGGAGCGCTTAGGAGTGAAAAGGAAGCTGTCAACAGCCTTTCACCCCAGACAAATGGAGGGAACGAACGCATGAATCAAGTGGTTGAGACATACCTTCGTTGTTATGTTAATTACCAACAGGACGATTGGGTTGAACTGCTACCACTAGCAGAATTTGCATATAACAGTTCAACAACGGAAACAACACTTGTTACGCCATTCTACGCCAACTTTGGGTACGAATTGGAAGCGTATCGAGAACCACTGGCTACGACGACAGACAATCAGCTCGCTCGTATCCAGGTCTCGAAAATCAAATGTTTGCACACAGAACTCGCAAGTGAGTTGCAGTTTGTGGCAGAACGTAACGCGCACTACTACAATAAACGACGTAGTCAGGAGCCAACGTTAAAAGAGGGGGATAAAGTCTACCTTGTACGAAAAAACATCGACACAAGGAGACCAAGCNCCTTGTACGAAAAAACATCGACACAAGGAGACCAAGCGACAAACTGGACCACAAGAAACTCGGACCATTCAGAATCAAGAAAGTCAAAGGACCTTTGAATTATGAATTGGCACTACCAAAGACAATGAACATCCACCCAGTATTCCATATATCCTTACTCGAACCAACACCACCGGGAGCACCACCAGCCCCATTCACAGAGATTCAACCAGTTAACCCAAACGCAACGTATGAGATCGAGAGGATTCTTGACTGTAGGCTTGTCAGACGACAGCTCAAATACTTGATCAAATGGTTGGACTACCCATACTCGGAGAACACCTGGGAACCCAGAAAAAACATCAACCAGTACTCGACGGAACTTCAGGAGTTCCACCGTCGTAACCCAGGGTTGCCCACATCTCCGACCCAGGAGGGAAAGCCTCGAAGGAAGCCGGGTCGAGACCCAGGTCAAGGGCGGGGTCGGAACCGAAGGGTGTAGGAAGGGCCGCCAGCCTGGCAGCCTCCTCCTCTATCCTTTCCTTCTCCTCCTCTTTCTCCTTCTCTTTCTTTTCCAGTTCCTCAGCAGCATCCAACTCGTCGAGCGAGTTAAGACCTGCTGCTATCATCTTCTTCTCTCGCTCCAGGAGCAGACGCTTCTGCTGTCTGAGCCGAAGGATCTTCGCCATAGCCTCTTCTTCTTGGGAGTCGAGGTGGGCCTTCTGTTTCTCGATGGAGGCCCAGTCTGAAAGTGAAGGCATTCGATTCCGCTCGCGATAGTCACAGGATTTTCCTTGACGAGCGCAGGCTGAACAACGGGAATACTGGTCGCCCTGTATTGCGACGCAACGGCGAGGACGACCAGCCAAATCAAGGAATTTTTCACAGCGCGTACAAGGAGCCATTTTGTCGCCGTGTCTATCAATGTAATTTCCAAGAGCCTGTCGTTCAGAGCGTTTCTTATTATCAGAGGGTGGCATGTTGAAAAAAGAGGAAGGCCGCTGGTTTTATGACGATATTTCTTAGGTTGTACTTAAGCGTGGGGACACGCTAGGCTAAGAAGGGGATAGTGTTTCGAATCACGTGCTCACGTGATACTTGTCATAATAAGAGGCGCAACCCTCGGCAGGCACATCCAGGTTTCTTATAGCAAATAGGGATCGTTTGGGGTAGCTAAGCGATCCAGGGATTTCTCTTGTATTTAATCACGTGACCGAGCGACCATTGTTGGTGTCGGTCGAACCGACTGTCGC